TGTGCATGCAGCATATCATTTGATCTTGAAATCTTGTATCCCTCTGTCCCATATTTTACTTCTACTTCTACGTTTGCTATCAACATTTTTAAACTTTGACATCAAATTATGGAAAAAATATGTTGAATTATGATATAAATTTAGTATGAATAGGTTCATTTGTCCATATATAAATAGAGATTTTAATGTTCAAAATGTTGTATTGGAGATTGTGAAAAGTCAAAGGGGAAGAAAGATATGGGACGGAGGAAGTATATAATCTTCAGGTATACTTCCTTTGTCACATAAATAACTTCTCTTTCCTTATTTGAATGTCCCAAAAGAAACTTCACACTTCTCTTGTTTTCTTTTAAAGAAAGAAATATGTGGCTCACAACATTTTCTCTATTCTAAACAAATTCCAACTATAATCTTTTTTCATATAAACACTTTTCGTCAATGTTGCACAGATTCTTCAAACGGGTTCCGCTTCTCGTCCCCGAAACATCCCAGTCGGGTACTTGGGGGCATCCCTACACCCAAGTCCTTTATAAATTATGAAAAAAATCGGCATTTCACGATTCTGACCCGTCCCGTATAACTCACTGTCCCCATCTCGGTGCAACCCTGCTTTTTCGTAAACTCCATGAAGTCAAACATTGAAGTTTTTTAGGGAACGTAGTGAGTAGATCATTACTTTTCAGTTTTAGCATTTCAGGGATCTGTTGTATTTTATTGAGTTTTCTTTTTTCTTTGTTTTTTTGGGAGCTTCTTTTTTAGCAAGTAATGATATGGACTTTAAGAGAGAGAGAGAGAGGGAGAGAGATCACATATGGCACAAATTATTATCATGGCCATCTTAACAATTAATCCTCTTTCCAGATTGGAACTTTTCATTTTCTTGAAAATATGTCTATAATATTGAAGTTTGTACACACTACTCTATGTCTAACTCTCTCCGTCCCAAAAAAGAGTCATTTGTGAGTGAGGTATAACTTTTATTTTAGTCTACTCTACCAAGGTGCAAATTTTTACCAGTTATGATTTTTAACTTGTACCCCTTGACTTTACTAGAATTCTACTTGTTGACTTTTAAAACCAGACGCTTTTTTGGGAATTCCCAAAACATTACTTATTTTATTGGGATGGAGGTAGTCATAATCCAATGACTGTTGCTTTGTGTAGGCAATGGAAGATTATGTACACCGGATTGGTAGGACCGGTCGTGCAGGATCAACAGGGCGAGCCACATCATTTTATACTGATCGAGATATGGTAATTTTCTTCCTCTCTGTGCACATGTGCTCATCTTTGTATTCATGTATTAAGGAATAAACAATTACTTTTTTACCTCATGCAGTTTCTTGTGACACAAATAAGGAAAGCAATTGCAGATGTTGGGTCCGGCAATCCTGTTACGTTTGCAACCGGGAAGGTAGATGTTATGATATGACTTTATACTAATGTAACTAGTATGCTATGATGCACAGTAACTTTTGAAAGTAAGGTTTACCTTTCAAACAATCGTTTTCATTAAAAAACTGTTGTTTCCAGTCGTGTTTGTCTCCCTGCAACATAGCAGTACTATGTTTTGAGGCATTATATGGTGTGAGGCCTGGTTGTGCACTTGTAGTTATATGTGTGTCTAGTAATAGCTTTTTTTAAATTTGTTTACACTAAAAAGTCTTACAACACTGTTTGGTTCAAGGAATTTGGAAGGAGAACGAAAAGAAAACAAGAGAGAAAGCAATTATTTTTGTTTGGTTAGAGAGGAAAAGAAAAGGAAAAGGAAAAGGAAAAAAAAAGAAGGAAAAAAAAAGAAGGCAAAAGAGGCGGGAAAACTAAATTTCTCCCGCTAGAAAATCAATTTTCTTTCTTTTCCTTCCAAATTTCTTTGAACCAAACATAGTTTTGGTCTTTTACTAGAGTAATAACCTTTGTCCAATCTTAAACAATGCAAAGAATGTCATGTTTACAATGATCTACTCCATTTGTCCCAAAATAATTTACCCACTTTCCATTTCAAGTTCCATTTATAGAACCTGATGTTTGTAGGCGGCAAGAAGGAAGGAGAGAGAAGCGGCAGCTGCACATAAGGAAGCAAGCAATGGACTCTCTAAGCTATCATTGATGCAATCCACCACAATAAACGTTGATGACAGCTACAGGCACATGATTTCCCCAGCCATGGCCCGCAAAGAGGGAGCTGCAGACGGTGCTTGGGACGATTGATTTTTTCCTCCCCACATTTCTTCGTTTCTTGAGAGAACACTCACGAATGTGCACATTCCCCTCCAAAGGTACTTCCCTCTTTTTGATTTCTTCACTCAGTCAGTTGGCCATGCTTCCCCTATCACTTTTTCTAGCATTATTATTAGATGATGGCCTTGCCACTTTTTCCTTTTTGTTTTGTTTATTCACGGGTTCGATGACAGGAATGCGATTCGCGCAAATGAACTATTGTGTAGCAAAACTACAATGTGCTGATCATATCATTTATTCTTATTTCAACTTTGCAGTTGCAGCAGTTTTTACGATTTTACCACTGAACTCACGTGATTACGAGTAGCGTTAGGGTCACTCCAAGTGTTGACTCCGATGTCCAAACTTGCCCTACCCTTCACATGGACACATGTGTTCGGTACAACAGTATTTGTTCATCGTCTCTGCGTGTATGTTTTTGTGAAAAGGTGGGGGGAAGCATGTCACACTTGGACTGCCCTTAGCTTGATTCTTATAGCCATTGGCCTTCCTTTTAACGTCACCAAACTCAAAGAAAACATAGTCACCGAACTCACTTGCACCTGCGTTTTGTCCAAATTCTAAAACAAGACGCGGATATTCAAAGTACTCCATTTGTCTCATAAAACATTTTACTCCGTACATTTTCTTTGTCGGGGCATTCTAAAAAAACTTCACTTTGTTTTCTATTTTGGTAATGAAAATGTTGCTCGCAGTGTTCCTCTCTTATCTAAATACTTCTTTCATCACAAATTCATTTACACTTGAAGAACATGTAAATTTCATTTTTTATAAACTGATTTTTTTATAAATTGGTATATATAAATAAAAGATACTTGGCTCGTCCCGGAGTGTTTGTCCACTTTTGACTTTTGGAACTGTTTATCTAAGCACTTTGACTCATCAAATTCTCTCAATGTGTAAGCCTAAAAACAGTCATGTGTGATCTTGTTTGATTTGTCTTAACATATAGATTATTAATATATAATTTTTTAATATACAAATTACAAAATAAAATGGATTAAAGAAGTGAATTGGATGGTGTGCAAAAATGAAAGTGGACAAACACTCAGGGGCGGGGGGAGTACAAATTACAAAATAAAATAGATTAATATATTTGAAAACTACTTTAAAAGTTTTATAAAAAAAGATGCGAGAAAAATATTTTATTTTCCCAAATGACTAATGAAAGTTCACGAGTAAAGAAAAATTATAGACAAGTTCAAATAGTAAAGTTGTACTCCGTAAATCATTTAGGGATAGAAAGTAAATTCTAACAATTACTCTCTCCGTCCCAGAGTATTTATCACTTTCATTTTTATACACCATCCAATGCGCTATTTTAATCTATTTTATTTTGTAATTTGTATCTTAAAAAATTATAGAAATTATATATTAATAATCTATATGTTAAGACAAATCAAATAAGATCACACATGACTATATATAGGCTTACACATTGAGAGAATTTGATGAGTCAAAGTGCTTAGATGAACAGTTACAAAAGTCAAAAGTGGACAAAAACTGAGGGACGGAGGAAGTATTACAGAGTAAGATTTTTAATGGGCCGATGGGTAGGGTTGTTAATTGATAACTGAAAATTCGATTACTATCAGTACCTGTATTCGTTTAAACGGGAATAATTTATGACTGTTTTAAATAGATTTATCTGTATTTGATTAAGAACATCCGATTATTAAATGGATACAAATTTGGTAATTGCATATATGATCCGTTTAAAATTTGATTTAGATGTATATTTGTTTAAATAACTGTTTATCCGAATACCGAGTTAAAATTATATTAATAAATATAACCCTCTATCCATTCCATTATACATCTATACTTGGCTCATATATCTAAAAATATACTTTACCCTCTAAGTCATCAATACTTGGTCGATTATGAATTTATATTCTTGTACGAATAAGTTATTTAGATTGCAAATTCAGATTTGAAACAAATTTATTCTTTAGGAATTCAGAGATTTTAGAATTGGACTAAATTTTTTTAATTTAAAAAAACTCAATTACAAATCTGCAACTTCACTTGTTTCTATATGCATCTTTGATATTTAATTCTAAAATTAATATGTTAAGCTTTTTCAAACAACATTTAAAATCATGAAATTTTAAATGTTGAAATCAAAATTTAAGATTCCTGATGAGTTGTTATTACCAAACATTACCTAAATTGATTTACAAAAGTTGGTTTCACGTTTAACTAAAGGGTATTGAACTTGGTGGAAGCATGTAAAGAGAGTGTTGACTACTAAGGTCTTGTTCTCTCCAACTTATTTTTTTACTTATTATTTAATTTTTATTGGAATAGATCAGTTGAAAAAAGTGATAGAAAAAGGCAACCGATGGATGTAAAGGCTAAAGGCTATAGTAGACACCACACTCAGAAAAAGGACTAATGTAAGACCATTAGATAAGCCTAGGTCAAAGTCGAGTTCTGTTTAGATCAGGCAAGTCCACCATAGAATTTATCTTATATTAAACTTGAATGGCAAACTTTATGATAAATATAAGATCCACCATGGACCCACATATGAGCAAAATAAGCTTACTTTAAATCAAAAATAAAATTTTTTTATAGAAGACCTACAAAAATAATATATACCCAAGATGCACTATAGAAGCACTCAACTTGGACGGGGAAAATTTGTTTCTACAAAGACTAAAAGGGTGAGTAGATTAGTAGAGCAATTAATTAAGAATTAAGGGAGTGTAAAAATAATCGGAATCTAAATTACCAAAAAGCGTGACCAAGCGGGCACAATACAGAGTTATTGATTGTGGGAAGAAAAATGGGTTCGTGAAAAGAAACACAATAATAATCCATTTCATAAATCACATGAGAAAACAAACACAAACAACACAGTATTCTTCTTAATAAGCAAATAAATCCAAAATTTGACAAAGATTTCAATTTCATAAGGGCAGTCAAACTCGGGGTATACTTCTGCATACTTCAAAGCTTAAAAAATATTGGGCAAAATATCTTTCGATTCAAGAGAGAAACGACGAACTCAGCTCTAAGTTCCAGCCTTCCGGCGTCCAACACGAGCAACGTAACCTTGTTTGATCTGGGCAACTGATCTCCCAGAACCACACTGCAAAGTTTAAAGATATGAGCTCAATAATAGTGTTTTTTGACTTGTTTGACAAATCAGAACTATAAGCTCAGTAATGAAATCAAACTATGACCATCCTTCTTAAGGAGGTCCATCATAAGAATGTGGTTAAGGCAAAACCTTAACTTTGCATTTTTTGCAAGAGGCCGCTTCCAAGAAGTACAAAATCTATTCATTATAAGGGCTTTCAGTGTACGAAAATTAAAACAGTTGAGTATACCTTCTCGCATCTTAGGAAGGAAAGACGGTTCTCCTTCATCATAATAGTGTCCGGACTTTTGCAGCCATTACAAATAACATACTCATCTAAACAAAACGAAAAAAAAAAGTGCAATAAATAAGCGTTCCATACTGACCAAGAATGCATGCAGTTGTGGCTAAAAGATGCAGCAATGAAAAGAGCAACAAAGAGAACCTCTTTACTATGGCCATATTTGGAATATGGAGAATGGCAGAAAGAGAAGGGGGGGGATGTTGAGTAAAATATTTATTTCTATTTAGTTTGTTCTTGGAAATCAATGAGAATCAAATTTCTTTGGAGCTTTTTAAAAAATGAAATTCCTTAGTCTTCACATAAAAAGACATTGAGTATTAATAAAATGAGTTTGAGCACTTGGTTTAGGATCTGTAAATATCTAAAATTGGTTTAGACTAAACAACTTACTGACGTATCGACGGAGGAGCCCTTCAAAATTCTTAGGAAGGAATCTGCCCTTGATAACCAACCGTTGCTGTCCATCAAGTGATCCACTTGTACCCAACTCAGCCAAAAGGAATGTCATTACATGTTCGGGCTGCCTGTGCATCCTATTTATTTATAACATAAACAATAGTGTTACTAATGTAGAGCTTATCAAACAAGTTTGACTATATAGTGACCGTTTACCCAAAATACGAATCTAGAGAGCAATAGTATATCCACATGTGTATGTGTGTCACATATGTTTGAGTCCATCTCTCATCGAAAGTCCAAGAGTACAAAATCGGTATATAAACTCTTGAGTAAAACTAACTAATCAATTGGATTCAATCTTTTAATGTGATTCAATCAAAGTGTTGTTGGGTTATTCAATGAAGGCTTTAGAGCTTTGGGCTTTAAGCCCGGTCGGTTAAAGGGAAGAAACATAGGGGGCCGGTTTCGGTTATTAATTAAAGGGCCCATTAGTTGTTTCTTGTTTAGCAAGTTGTTAACCCTAGTTTATATCTTATAAATACCCAATCATGTAACTATAATTTGTGAGCACCTAATAAAAGATAAACCCTAGTTGCAACCCGTGGAGTAGGTTACTGACCAAACCACGTTAAATCTCGTGTTCTTATTTTCTGCTATTTGTGTGTGTGTGTGTGTGTTTGTTCGCTTCCGCTTGATCGCCTCTGATCTCTGATTCCTAACAAGTGGTATCAAAGCCTTGGTTCGGTTAAACACACGGTTACACAGGATCAATTGCAGGAAGAAGGCTGTTCAGGATTGTTTTTGCTGCTGTTTTGCTGCCGCGGTTAAGGGGCTGGTTCAGATCTGATCAGGGGCTGGTTCGGATCTGATCAGAGGCTGGTTCGGATCTGGTCAGGGGCTGTTTGGTCGGTTTTAGGTGAACTTGGCGATTAGGGTTTCTGGTTTTGGACCTGGTACTCGTTGGTTCGGGTTCTTTGTTTTAGGGTTTGT